TCCAATAATTAGTTCATTATCTATTTAAGTCATATGTTCGTCGTCACTACTTTCATACTCATTGGTCAATGACTGTTTTCACTTGATTCGAGGCATCTATATTCTTATACTTTTTAGCACATAAAATGAATTAAAATAACAGTTCTATTATTATTGTTATTTTAATTAAAACATATGTTTTTATCTAAACAAAATATCAAAGACGACAAAAAACATGATTTGTTTCTAAAGCATTGTGAACTTGCTTTCCTAAAGACAGCACTACTGTGACATGGTTACACAGATGTTCCTTCAAGGAAATAGTTCCCAGACAAAGGGACTTTTCCACCGGGAATGGAATGTGGTTTTAGGATTACAGCTGCATCTGTTTCTTACCTAAGGGGATATTCTCGCTACGATTCAGCATAGGACAAGAGATGGGGGAGTCGAAGTTTGGACATCGTGACACAATGTTGATTCAAGAGAGCACAGCCGACTACCTCAATGAGTAAGTACGGGGAGATCGAAGGTTTATTGTCTGCACATTCAACAAGCCGGCTTTCCAGAGCTAGAGGACCATATATTCACCAGGAATACTGGAGGTAGCATTGCCCTCCTTGGAGTATTTTGTCCTCCTGAGAGATTTAACAGGGACTAAACCTTTCTGAGTGTGCTGCTGTTTTAGCACAGTACATTTGTAACCACTTAGAAGTACTATTGGATAAGTGTTATCCACTTACTAGATTGACGCAATCTTATATTCATTGGGAATACTGGAGGTAGCATTGCCCTACTTGGATTATTTTGTTCTGCTAAGAGATTTAGCATCACGTTCTAAAGAAAAGGCTTAAGATTGCAAGGATTTCTTACTAAATTCACCAAGACTTCAGTAATAAAAAAAAATGTAAAAGATTGACAGATTCCTTACCATCATTTGGAACATCAAGAACAAGAAGATTTGTTTACTGAAAACTGTACTTGGGAACTGCTAGACACTTTAAAACATAAGGAGAAAAATTTTTTGCATCTGTCTGATAGCAATCAAAAATTTCCCCTTAGAAAGTCAAATATTACATCATGAAGAAACTGCTCATTTAAAAGTGGTAATTCTTTGTTTGATGATGTTTAAGATTCTGTAAATAAATTACCATTTCTGCTCACAAAAAAAAAAGGTGCTAAGAACAATGATAAAGCACGAAATGAGTTAGAAAAACAATTCAGAATACTCAAAGTATAACGAATTGGTATGAATGCTTTGGTTGGGTTCATAGGAAAGAAAGAGTTGTACTACAGATGAAATTTCTAAATGTGACAGTATTGCTGAAATATAACATGGACAGCAATGCAAAATGTAAATGCATTTTTAGCACTGTCAAAAAATAAGACTCAGTTGTGCTTTTCTGTGAAAAACTCTTAAGAATACCATGACTGTCAAACACAAATGGAATAATAAATGTTCAGAAGCTGAATCTTTCGATTCCTTTTTAATAAAAATAACATCAGTTACTGTGAATATGTTACAATAAATGTGATTTTTATTTTCTTTAATGGGGTTTTCTTTTTTATGCTTGATACCTGTGGATTTTTATTTGCATATTTTGCATTTCACATTCTATTGAATTTTTTTCATAAACCATTTGATTTTTACTCTTTTAAGGTTGGCAGATATATATGAATAGTACAGTTTAATCTCATATTATACAAAATAATTAAGGGTACCAGAAAGGTAGAGAAAGTCCTTAAATAACTTTGTAATAAGCTCCTAATTAATGACAGAAATTCTTAATGTGCATTATAAAGTTACTAGTCTAAAAATAATATGCTTTCACCAGCATAAAAGTTTACAAAAATTCAAATATCTCGAGAGTATCCCATCAGTTAATAGACAGATCTGGTGGAAGTAAATGCAAATAGTTTACAAGCACATATAAACTGTAGTAGCATGAAGGTACATCAGTTTTCTTCCAACAATGAAACACCTAGACAATACACTAAAAAAAAAGTTTAAAAGCAGAAGTACTCAAGCTACTTTTTTTTAATGTTGAAGATGTAAAAATTCAAAAACTTATGTAAAACAAAACTAAATCTCAAAGTTCATAAGTGAGAAAATTAGGTTAAATCATTTAATTATAATCATTATTAATTAATTTATCACTTAACAATATATAAAAATGGCCAATAACAGATGTTATTGGGTTCAAAATTTCTGACATTGAACATGGTTCCAACATTTGAACTGATTGGCATTGTGATGATGTTGGCCAGGATCACTCTTCTGCCCCTTGAGTGGTTATAGGGGAGTAGAGCCAGCACTATGCATTTTGCTACCCAATGCAATTGCTGTAGGTCCTAAATTATGTCCAGAACCTCCCTAAATCCTGAAAATTTTGCTTTCCCTAAATTCTAAAGCCCAGTACCTCTCTTAAATTCTAAGATTTTGCCATCTCTCAATTTTACTGCCCCTAAATTCTGAAACTTGTTGTGGCCAAACCAGATTCACCTGCTCAGGTGCTGGCCCTGTGAGGAATTAGCAGTTTTCTATTTAACCTAAAAAAGTCAGTGAAGTCCCCAATGCTGCCATGGGTATACGTCATTTGACTAGATTTAAACTAATGATCTAAAACCTGGAAATTTCCAAAATCGACGACGTCCTAACAATTCTGGATCTCAGACTGTAATAGGTTTTGGATCTTTGCACAGTAATAGAACTTTCAATTTTTTTGTCCATTACTACAATATCACTACACCCAATAAACTTTAATATATTCACCTGTTACTACTCCATATGTAACAAAAAATTCTTAATTTTTGTAATTTTAAAATGATGAAGATTATCAGCAATCAATTTCGTTGTCTTCTAATATCACCATTTTCTGACATCTTAAGAATAAAATGTTTTCATTATCAGTGTTATCAGATAGTAGAAATTACTTAAATGTATTTAAGAATATTTTCTGAAAAAATTATTAGGAACTTTCTCTTAGTTTTAATAGTTAACATTATCTGTCATGTAAGCAGTATTGTATACTGCAAAACTAGTGAATTACATAAAAGTTCTAAATTACTTTTTGAAAAATTCATGAAATATGCGAGTTCATAATTATAGGCATAATTAATTATTTTGCCAAAGCCTTTAAACAAACCTGATTTACTATTATTAAATATATAAAAAATTTACCTGATTTGACTGCATTTTTCTATTCATAAGAGAAGAATAATCCCTAAAATTAAATAAAAGAATTACTATAATAACCGTAGCAGCTGTATTCAGAAACTAAAAATCAATATTTCAGAAAGCCAGCTGGTTAAAAAAATTATACACTATAAGGAGAAAATAATTTCCTGTTTAATAAAGCAGTTAAAAAATAATATAACATCAGACATTTGATTTCCTGCGAAATTAATTATTCTCAAACAATGTAATTCTCCACATACTTGCAGCGAAAGAACATATCCTAAATTGCAAAAATATGCTTTTCATGATGAGAAATAGTTACAAATAATGAATGCAAAATTTACTGCAGTTCTCAATGATTAAAAAGTTCATTTTAACTCAATACATTATTTTACACAATAAATATTCTCACTAATTTTCTACTAGGAATTAATGAAAAATGTCTCTGACTTATTATTTAATTAATAAAAAATATCTCATTAGTTTTACTTTACTGCTGCTGAAAAAATGATTAAACACTACTCATTTAAAAAAAAAATCAAACAACTGCCATAGTGTTATTTCACTAAGAATCAATACTTTAAATGTATAAAGGTATTGAAAAGAAATTATATTCATATCTATTTTATATTCACTGAAATACTTGGCACATTATAAAAAGTGATCCAATAAACTGAGTACCATACTTGAAAGCAACTAGTATATTTAGCCTCTGATTAGTCAAGCAATTTGATGATAAAGTAAAGACATTTTTATAATGAGAGAAGTTAAGGAAAATGGTAGTTGCACTTAATCTGAGCAAGATGAAACTAAATAACTTGAAAATTTTCACATCAACTTTCAATTAATTTGTTCTTTAAACATAAATTATTCATGAATACAATTACAGTAAACCCTCTCAAAGATGAACATTCATGGTTCCAGATAATTTCGCTCATCTTTGAAAATGGCCATCTTAAAAATGATGATGATGAATGGTGAATGATATCTGATGATGAATACCTGTTTAGATAATGGCTTTATCCTACTCAAGATTTTTAGCATCAAGGGAAAACACTAAAGTAGATGTGAATAAGATGAATTTATTAATAATATGGACTAACTACAAAGATAAGTACGTATAAATAAAATGTATCAATAAACAAAACTAGAAAGATGACAGTTAATTTTATGATATATTCTTAAGTGGAAAACAGATCTCAATAAAAACAAGGTAAAATTGCTACAACCTTGCATTATAAATTTTGATCCGCTAATTCCAAAAAAAAAAATAATAATTAACTTGCTGCTTATTAAATTATGAAATGACTAGTTGATTTCATATTTTTATAATCAATCTCTATAACAGTAACACACCTCTAATCATATAAAAATATGTACATTGGTCATTAAAATTGCTACACTAGAAAAGAAAGCAAATAGCAGTATTTTACAGTACATATACAGGATAATGGGAGGAAGATGCAATTAAATTTGCAGGTTGGGAAATACGGTGTGCAGTATTCAGCACATGGAGCTGCCACCTCTGGCAGCAACAGCTGCTGTAATTTTTCTGGGTTTCACATCACACTGAGTGCAGATGATAGATATGTGACTCAATGCCAGAGTTTGTCAGTTGTAGTGGCTGGTAAGTTGTGGTGAGCCAGTTGCTCAGCAACAAATGACCAGATGTTCTCACTGGGTAAGACATCTGGAGAATATGCTGACTAAGGCAACAATAGAACACCCTTGTTATGGAGGATCAAGACAGCACAGGCAACATGCAGTTATATTAGCATCTTGCTGAAAGATGGTGTCACACAGGTCTCAAAGATATGGCACACCCGTAGACCTCAACACAACATAAATGTAATGGCTTCTTCCATATTACCAGCTATGTGAACAAGAGGTGAGCAGGATGGACCATGCCAATATTCCATACCAAGGTGACCAATGGAATCTCATACCAGCATGTCAAATCTAGACCCATATGTCAATGACAAATGCAAGTCAGCAATGTTTGTTCTCAGTACCTTTACACACAGATGCATCTATTATGATGCTATATACAGGACTGCAATTCATCTCAAAAGATAATGCAGTGTGACTAAAGTGTCCAGTGTTCTTCGTAGCACCACGATAGGTGTGCCTGTCTCTCCTGCAGCACATAGGAAGTAATAACCATGGTCACCATGTTGAGGTCTATGTTCGCACTGCCATGTTTCTGATTCAGGGTATCTGACATGGTTCTACAATCCTGCATGACTGAGAGGACAATATGCCTGCATGTCTGAAAGGACAATAAGTCTCACTGGCCCATGGCCCGGGGCCACTGAGATCATGAATGGGTTGTCAGTATGGCCCTCCTGGACCCATCAATTCCATGTTTACTTGACAATCATGGGATCCCAAATATCATGAGCAGTAACATTGAAGAACGATAAACTGCAGTCCAGATCACGATCCTGCCGCAGTCAAATTCCAACACATGCTGATAAGTGTCCCTTTCTTACATGAGGCATAACATAACCTTTACACATCAAACAATGTTCGAATAGGATTTCAATGAGAAACCCACTGTGCAATCTTCCCATTTACACACATGGCAGATGGCATTACTCATAGCTACTCTGTGCGCATGAGCTGAAATACTAATCATTTACATATCCCACCATCTATTAACTTTCATGTAAATTTGATGCTTAATGCATGCCGCCTTCATGATGTAGCAGTTATAATGGCTACCAGCATACACATTTTTTTCTTCTTACAGCATAAAAATACATATGAAAATTTTGAAGTTGTGCAAAAGCATATCATTAGCACAGATTTCTTTGTGAAAGGTCTGAAATGTTTCTCAGGCAATGAGACTGCATTTGCTGTGTATATTTATAATCTAATTACTGATAAGAATGCCTCTTTTCATTGAACAGTCAAGAATGTTTTTCAACTATATAACCTAATTTACTAATTTCAGCAGCATTCAGAATTGTATCTGCATATCAGGAAAGTGATTTTTCTTTCTTCTGTGATATGCTTTTCACTTGTTCACATTGCTCTAAATAGATATGATTTCAAATATGTTAATCACTATTTAAAATATTTGGAAGTAAGTAAAAATTTTCGGGATATTCTATGCACACGCCTTTTCTATATGAATAAAACTCATCAGCAGGAATCAACTACCTCATTCATTTGCTTTTATTTTACAAGCAGCAACAAAACTACCTCAGAGACAAAACTGACTATGTGTCTGATATAATTTACTGTCAATTGGGGCTTTAGACATTTTTTGCACCTTCATAACAGTTTAAAAGATATACAGAAATAGAAAACTAATATCTCTTGTTTTTATAAACACAGATTATGGATTCTTCAGCTGTACATTTCGAGATATTCACTGAATGTCCAAGAAACATACCAGTTGGTAAATGCTCACAAATTTTCTGTAAATAAACCTTTCAGTTCATGTCCCATAAGGTGATCTCAAACGTTAATGATAGTTTCATTAATTATAACAATGTAATACAGTACACAAAAACTATTTGCCTAAGGAAAGGCATATCTTCCTAAAGGGCTCTCAATGGAAAATTGGCAGAAATTAACTTTAAAATGCAGCTACCCCATTCTCCAGGATTTGCATCCATATCAAAATATAAATATTGCAAAAATTAAATACATAAATTTTTATATGGATTTGCATCCATATCAAAATAGGTCTTACCCTCCCAGCTACTAGTACTCAGCTGTAAGTGGACATTAAACAAGAAGGACGGCAACAAATTTTCTCTATCCAGATGCTATTTACCCATTTTGCTCATATTGAAAGGTTTTCTCCCTGCTTTCATTTTGAATACATTTGAAACAATACACCAACATCTGATGGTGAAACTGCATATCCTCGACACTTCTTCACTTTAAAAGACATGGTTACTGAATTTTCTTTATTTGTAATAACATTTACTTCTGCTGGAAGAACTATTACATGACTATTTACATAATCACTATCCTGAGCACAAATCTGATAAATTAGGATCATTAATTTATACTACGCAAGTGCTTATTAGTATGTCAAAAGGCTTAGTATCACACGAATGGCTATCTGAGGGCACACAAATACTCAATTAGAATTTCACAAAAGTGCATGCCAATACCCAATTTTCACAAAATTTAATAAACTAATAAAACTATTAATAAATGATTCAACAGAAGTTATTTGAATACACTATCAGGTCATAAAGAACTGAAAAATCCTAGTATTATATTACCTTTAGTGATTGCCCATATGGTATCATCGATGAAAAGAATTTTAAAATGCAGTTTTTAAAAAAATGAAATTGACAAATTTTAAAATATATTTAAAAATATACATATTATCCAATATAGCTGGAGATTTTTTTTAGCTCACAAATCATTTAAAAATTTCACATACAAACTTTGAAGGATATTAATATTGTAGCGAAAATTGCTCTTTTCGACCAAGCTCCTCACAGCTTAGCGGAGAAGACACAGGACTGGAAAACCAAAGGTCCCGGGTTCAAAACTCATCAACGGCAAGATGCCTGATAATTGGTTTTTACGTAAATTTCCTTCTTGTTAATGTTATCTTGTTTATGTAAATTTTCTTCTTATTCTTCCAGAACATTTCGAGTCTGGAATGTTCCAGCATGTTCACCAGCTGTTATATAAGTAGTTCTTCATTCAGTTCGAGTTAATAAAAAGTCTTGAGTACTTGCCTGTTCATCTGTACGACCCCTTCATCTATGCGACAATATGAAATATATTCATACAAGAAAAAGCAGGAGTTAAAGCAGGTGGTGCTGTATACTAGTGTTCCTGGTCAGTACCTGGGGCTACCTCATTAAAACTTGTAACATCTTTTGGAGCTAAGCATCATCACCAGGGATGGCCAAATTGCGGCTCGCAAGCTTGATAGGGCTCTCTCAGTCAATTTATGTGGCTCGTGCATATAAAATATATGTATGAAATATTGTAAACTATAACTATTCAGTGTCCAAAATAAAAGTAATTAATTAGTTTACACTCGTTTTACAGTTATATGGGATTTCTTTCTATTTAAAACCTCCCCCACTACTTCTATAATGATGTTAATATGAACTTGTGGCTTTTAGAAAATCTAGATGCGGCTCTCGAACATTCCTGAATTCAAACGTGCGGCTCTTACTGACATGAAGTTTGGCCAACCCTGGTATAGACTACCTGATGATAATGTGCCAGCCACTGTAAGATTGTATTGGAAAAGATGCTCAGCCAGACATACCATGACATGGTCTTGTATTATCTTGATGGAACATTACCTTTTTGTGTGCGAACTCTGTTCAACATTTTTCCTTGACAGCAGCGTCAACACGGACTAGCATCTCACTGTACACCTTAATGTTGAGGGTTTTACCTTTTTCCAGATACTATTTGTGGATAATACCATGACAATCCCACCAGATACAAAGCATGATCTTTTGTTAGTCAAATTGTGCTTTGTGATGCTGCCAATGGGCTCACCGCTTGCAGATAAATCACCTTTCCAACCTGTGTTGTTAAAGTAAATCTTCATCACAAGTTACCATTCGGTCCAGAATTTGGTCCTTCCGTTTATATTCGATCAGATTAGAGCAGGCTCGGACATGTCTGTCCTTATCTGCTTAAGTCAGCTAATGCGACACCCAGCGATTGAATATCAATTTTATGCAACGCACAGCACAACTAATGAACATGGCACTAAAGCCCAACTCCTCAGCAAGCTCTTGAGTGGTTGCATACTGATCTTCTTCCACAAGTTCTCACAGATGGGCCTCATCAACATCAGTAGGCCAGCCAGAGCACTTTGCTTCTTGAATGTCAAAGTCCTTGTTTCTGAATTTTCAGTACTAAACTTTCAGAGTATCATATGATACAACATTAGTACCTAAAGGTATACACATGATTTGGTGATATTCTGTAGCGACTTTTTGCAACATAACTGGAAGTAAATAATGGCTCTTATCTGGTAACGTAATAGTTCCATTTCAGACACCTTGTACTTAATGATAACGATATTTTTTGTTCTTTTTTTGCATATTTCACAACACAGTGTTCTAAAGCAAGTCTCTTTCAAGTGCCAAAAAATATGATTTCAAAAAATATAATTAAACATGCCAACATGAACTATTTGTGCAGACGATATTTGTGGTGGCGGGGAAACTTTCACTAAAACCCAATACATTTCATCATAATCAAGAAGATGCATATACTTTATCCTGATCCTTTTCATTACAATCATAGTACATTTCATTTATTTCTCCCAATATGTACTCAAGCAAAACAATTAAAAAGTACATCTAAAAGCATATTCTCTAGCATAAACCAAAAAGAAATATGAATGAGTAACAAACACTGCAATGAACTTACCATCCAAAATAATATATATATACACAAAAATGAAACTAAATCATACTTTAATTTAGCTTCCTCTTCCTTTTTGGCCGCAGCTATCTTTTGGCTTTCTTTTTCCTTCCTCATAACCTGCTTCATTTCTGCTCGCTCTAAGCGATCTCTTTCTTCCCTTTCTGATTGAAGACTCGGAAATCGTTCCACTTTTGTTTTATTAAGCCTATTAACAACATCATTCAGTCTCTTTTCTACTTTAATGACTTTTACCTGCAATAAATTTCACATAAAAATATTTCAAATAATAAAGAAAACATAATTTTAAAAAAAAAAAAAAAACTTTCAAACATTTCCTTCATTATTTGAACCTGGAGCTTAAGTGGCTACCATGCATGTCAGCAGGCGGTGGATAGCCTGATGTCCTGTATTATCTGAAAGGATAGCTTCAAATAATAAATAAGAAGCCACGAACCACCTCCTGTAACCCTGGTGTTATGCAACCCGTGCCTAGGGTAAATGACACTGTTGTTATAGTGTCTTAACGGAGCCTCTAGAATGCCTGGCAACTGCTAGAGTATTTTACCTTACCCAGCAACAGGCAACACTGGGTGGGCCTTTTTTATCCTGTACTTTTTCTGTTCTAGTTTATATAGGGCTGAAAATGACTATATAACTAGAAATTCTGCTTTTGCAAGCAAAACCTCTGAGGTAGACATTTCCTAAAACAAGGAAACCCAAAGGAAATCAAACAAAGGAGCAGAAATCAATCCTTCATCAAGTGAGGTAGAAATGACCTTTACTCAAATTACTCAATCAACACCTGGAGAAGGGCAGAAAGCTATTACAAGCATGACTGTCTCTAAAGATAAAATAAGAAATGTGCCCAAGAACTGAAAATTACCAAAGGTACTTAGATTGAAAAAAATCTAATGGCAAAGGGGGGAAAGGAAATCGCAAAGGATGGAGCAGAATAGAGCCTCAAAAACTGCCAAAAGGGATACCTGAAGTCGAAGGTCATACCTTCAGGAAGGTTCTTACGGTGGTCATGATGACTGTACTCCTTGAGGGACATCATGAAAATTGTTTATCGCAGAAACAAGCTACTGACCTTGAACTGTGACTAATTTAGATAGTCTCAATACTAAAGAGTTATAAATGACCTCTATTAAGGATCTGTTAGACTTAGAGATTAGGGGATGAAAGTGGGTGACTCAAGCAAATGGAGCTAGGAAGCACTGGGTCTGGTGCATTTGGCACAAAATTGCTATTTAGCAGAGGTGCCTGATACCTGACAAACTCAATTTCAAGAAGAATATAATTCAAAAAGAAGTGTTATTTGAAACAAAGTAAAAGTCTCTTTCGAGAAAATAGATACCAACTTCACTATAATTAGTTAAATCATTGATATAGAATGACTAGCAAATATACTTACTAAGCCAATTCGTAACAAATGAAGTACTGTAGTGAAACACAGTTATCAATATAAAAAGAATAGATCAAAAAAAATTATTACAAAATTTCAAAACTCAAAAGCCAAAGTTAATTAGAGAACATGCAATGAATCTCAACATAGTGTTACGAATACTGTATATAAGCATATAATTTTAGTGAAGTTACATGTGAAATTGTAGTACTTTTTGTATAATGTAATATGAAATGCCTGAAAAATAAGGTTTCATGGCAAGTCTATTATTTAACACAGAGGTGAATGGTTATCTTGCTAAATTGCCAAGATACTGCAAAGCTGGCGGTGCTTTAAACGATTTATTTTTGGAGTCAAATTGGTATTGGTACTTTAATTGAATAGCTGTAATAGGTCCCTATATGTAACTGTAACCATATCTGGCCATTCTCGACACCCAGGGGTAACTATGTAAACCTGAAAAGAGCCAGAGTTCTCAGGTAAACTTTAAACTATTGAGATATCTCCACATCAGCTCTGTTCTTTAGATACACTTTGCACTGTGTTGTGTTTAACATTCTTAGTAATTTAAAGTGTAACTACTCATTGTGATCTGAGATACTGAGAAGAGCTATATGAGTGTCTTTGTGGGAAGTCCCAAAACTGTAAAGTGTTTCTTTTGGTAAAAATAAATTTTATCAAGTTATCATCGGTTCTGTGTGCATTCAATCCCTTATGAACCTGTCTGCACACAACAATAGATTGCTTTAATTAGTATAAAGAATCCCTCTACTGATAAAAGAGTCACAAATTTTAATACAGTACAAAGTTCGAAATCCGGACGTGCATTATCCGGACCTCAAAACCATCACCAATGTTTTCTCGTATGCTTTACGCATGCGCATTTGATTCCCCCACCACCACGCGTAATAAAACATCTGAAGAGTCTCGATTCTTAATTTCACTTTGACACTAAATAAAATACCTTGTTATTGAAGAAACAATCATTTTAGTATAAATTCGTACGGTCAGTAATTTGGCTCCATCGCTGCGTATCTGCTTTCGCACACATCTCAAACCGAAACATTCCACATAGATACATCGTTGATCTGACGCAAACCTGGCAAATCATTATTTATTATACTTCCTTTCATCACCGCATTTTATCAAAACATGACAACTTGAGTAATGACTCATGTAGCGATACCTAAACAATTTTTTTTGTCAGTAATTGAATAATAAAGCAGTATGGTAGCCTTTTATGTTGACATTACACTTGGCGATGATTACAGATTTAAGTTAAATGTACTAAAAAATGTTGACGAAGAAAAATTTACCAAAAATTTCTTTCAATATGCTAAAAATAGATTTTGTTGAAGATGCTCATACACCCAAAGATTACATTTTTGCCTATTTGAATTAAGAATAACTGATTTGTTATTCACATAAACCCAGAACAGGCACTAGGGCTCGTATGGCCACACCAAGTCACAGAATTTAGGACCTACAGAAACTGCATCCCGTGGTAAGATATCTTAGCACCGGCCCTCAATAAGGCTTAAGTATATGTGGGAATTTATTTATTCAGAACTCTGCTAAGCCTTAAGCATGTACAAGAAATAGACATATATTATTAAATTTTTAACAGTATACGTAAACTAATACAATTCAGGCTTAATTGCTGCAGTGCGTGATAGAAGCAAGATAAAATTTAACAGAACAACTTGTCGTTAGTCGCCATGCTCATGATGCATAGACAAATATGAATAGTGAAGGATAGCTAAATTTGACGATGATAGCTGCTAATTTTAAAGGTTTTCCGATATCGCAAAACAAAGGTGAAATTTTCCAATTAACAGATTTTGTAAAGAGATGTGGGGAAGCGGTAATATAAATGAAGATGATATAAAAGAGGTTTTTTCATTGTGATGACAACGCTTCTCAATCATCAATCAGTTAATGAATGGCAAAATCTGTATTATGGTTCTAGATCCTGAAAACAGAGAAGTTACTGAAAATGAGAAAATTTTGATTGACAAGTTAGTCAGAATTCTTGAAACAGCACTTACAGGATTTCAACAATGTAACTAAACAAGAAATTATGTCTGTCTACAGAATTAAAGAGAAAGTATTAGCACAAAAAACGAAGCAACTTAAACAACTTACATTGAAAGAAATGTTTAATAAGGTAAATAAATAAATAATAAGTTTTTTTTTTTTTTTATTTTGTTACCCTTTAGATCATAAAAACTTCATTATTTCACAAATTACGATATCATATTTTTTATTTTATAATTTCTACACACCATCGTACTAGATTGAAACTGATGATCTAATATCCGGAAAAATCCCAAAACCGGAATTGCCGAAGTCCCGAAGCAAATTTCATATGATCTAAGTTATACAGCTGTCACATAGAATTGTACTTCCTATTTCATTCTTTCATTTATAACGTAAACAACTCTTTAACATCCATGTGAAGAACTTTGCTTACAAATGCCTACAAACTACAGATAGTGCTTGATACACTACTACAGATAGATTGTATAGTGGAGTCATGGATATTCTCACTAACTACAATCAGTATCCATGAAAGGATCTGAGAACATAAATGTCAATTATATTTGGAATTCACATAACAACAACAAAATTAATTTAAGACTTAGAGAGATAAATTTCTGAATTCTGGCAAAGACTAGTTAGCAATCAAAAACTAATTTGTATTTTTCCTACCCAATATCATTTCATTTTATCAGCTAAACAAACTAATTTTTTTTTCGTAGTTGTGCCTTGACATGTAAATTCTTTGCAAACTGTAGACTGCATACATATTTTCAGAGTTTTCCCCACGTGAAATGTACATACAAGCCAGTTATTCTTTCCCTTCCCTTCCCTTAAGGAGAGAGCTTTTGTGTGCTCTTTCTTAATCAATTAATCAATCTGAAAGACAGGAAAAATTTAGGGGGTAGATGCAAAATGTGACCAAAATCAGAAAATTTGCTTTATGACTTCACAAATTTTATACGTACAGGTATGAAAACTCTTGCAGTAAAAAGTATAATGAATACTTTGCTAACTGGTCTTTTTTCTTTCAAGGATACACATACAAAGTTAAATCTTGCATTTTGTAAACCAGTCTACCCACAAGTGCTGAAACTGTTTTCATAAAAATTTTTAATTATATTGAGAAACTTTAACTAGAAGTACCCATGCAACACTAATATTTTATTATGTACATTTTTTAACACCTGTTTAATATATAATAAATCAACAAAAGTCTTATTGCATTGGCACTTCCCTAGATAAATGGCCAATAAGTGGTAGAAACTACAGCCTACAAATTGGAGACTAAAAATTAAACATTGTTTGTTAGCCCTGACATCTAGTCTCAATAATTAATCAATCTGGCTGCAGGAAATTTTCATGGTTTGGACTATGTATATCAAAAAACCAAGCTCGTGGCCCCTAGAAACTCAAAAGCATCCCTTCTTGAGGCAGATAGTCTTAGAGCAATTCACCATAACTAGATAAGCCTACTCATTCTTAATGCACTTTCCCATAACTAAATAAGTGACTCAATCTTACCAACATATTAAAATACAGCTTTTTATTACATTTTATGGTAACATAAATACAACTGAATCACAAGTATATGGTAAATTTGGGGGAAAAAACATGTATATGCTTCCTTTTGAAATTAAAGGAAAAACTAATCTTACCAACTTAGGATTATGAAAACTGACTTGGCCAACCTCCATTGCAGCAGTCTTTCTCAAATTCGACCATTCTGTATATACAACATCAACATTGTTCTTTTTGTTACCTTGAAAATAAAAAGTGACAGATCATAGCACAACAAACCAGTTAGAATAAATACTTGACACACAATGCAACATTTTTTTTAATATTTATTGCCATTCACAAATGCTTTATACTTAATTATTTATACAACACTAATAAAGAACTCAAACTAGTAAAGAGCTAATAAAAAATGAAAGTATATTAAAGAAGTTGAAAAAAGAAGACAGAAACAGAAAAAAGAAAAAGAAAAAGAAACCGTTCTATGATGGTTTTCATCAATAAGACTAATTTACATTTCAAAAATTTTCTTGACTACATAAATTGCTTAGATTCACTAATATACTGGGACAAGATTCTGCATCATCTAAAGAATTAATCACAAGATACAGAGAAAGAAATGTGATTCACTGGAAACTGCAGAGAGATAAGCAACATGCAGCAGATATATATCATTATCCTGCTGGCTTTCTGAAACTGGAGGAACAGGCTGCCGTGTTATTAATACATTCCCTGCCAAAAACCAATGGAAAAATCAACATTAAACTGATTTTTTGGTTTACTCAATGACCAAACAGTACATTTAATCTTGTTGCAAAAAAACTCCAAGTGTTATATTCTTCAAATTTGAAATGTTGCAAAAACACAGCATTAGCAAATACCTTGTACGGAATCATGGCTGTTTGCAAAACTTTTCCCATGCAATTAAAACCTTATACTTGAACATAGTTACTGTCCGACAGTCATGTATATGTTTACCTTCTATTTTCAGGATATTTCTCTATCATATATATAAGCTAACTTATCTTTTAACTGCATTCAGAGTTATATGTATGGTGCAAGTTTTTCTAAGGGATATATAACTAAAAAAGACAGGATAACCATCATATAAAACTTTTTCTGTATGACTTTGGAGTAAATTGCAGTTGTACACATTACATTGTAGAGTCCAGTGAATGAACTTCTGTCTGTATACTGGAGTAGCAGGAAAAGGGTTCATGTACCCCTTATTAACTTTTTAAAATTTACAATGTGTCAACTCGACACTAACAAACTTCGCCTCTAATTGGGCGGTAACTGAAAGTCAGATAATTGAAACTAAAAGTTGAAATATTAACAAGTGATAAAACTAGCCTACAGGGCTCAGAGAGATCCCATAACTTCAACCCCCTTCTAAGCTAGTGGCAGCAAAGCAATGCGATTAAGCCACTTGAGCCAGCAACAAGCAAACATACGGCAAAGATGGCAGCTAGAACCTAACTCTCCCCTTGTCCTACCGAAACTCGGCTTTTAACTACTTCCTTCAAAATAGAAAATTTGCATTCGTTCACGTGTGCTGCAACATTTAACTATTCTGGCATTGACAATTAGGGAAATGAAGGCTTATAGGAAAGTTTCAAATAAAATTTTAAATTATTACTTAAAATAAATATAAATCCCTACAACATACTTTTGAACTTCCTACTTAAAAAAATGGGTTAAATAATTGTCATAACTATTTTGTTCCTTTGATTTTTATTCTATAAGCAACATCACAGTCACAAAATAGATTCCCGCATACCATATTCTAATCATAATTTGTTCGCAACTTTAGCTGTCGAGCTACAAAATTTTTCACAATATCATAACATTTTTTAGGGGTACAGAAATGAAAAACAAGTTTATTGTTTTCATTATAAAGTTTTACTTTACCTCAGTGATATTATTAAACAGGCTTTACTACAGATTCAACTACCAAACTTCCACCAGAATGCAAATTTAGTTAAATTACAGAAAAGTTTAAGCTAAGTTTTTCATAAAAAACTTGGCAGCAAAGGCCTGGTCCTCTGTTTTAATTTTTCTGCTACTGCAATTTCATTTGCCAGCTTAAGTTTCAGTTCGCAGTGATTCTTGTGCTAGAGTATTTTGGGAAAAACCACTATTTAGGTTAAGCACATTAATTTTGTAGTTTACGTTTCCTTAAATCTGAGCATGTGTTTTAGTTACAAAGGAGTAGAACTTCCTTTCTGTTAAACTTTTACTACGTGTAATAGTCTCAACATATAAATAAAAAGTTTTATTTTAAACTTTTAATTCTGATACTTTTAGCTAGATGAGGCAAAAAGTCATTCTTATACAACTTTTCAGAGCTGAACTGGCTTCTTTAAAGTAATAGCATAACTGTGTACGGTAAATATATTTTATGCTGTTCAGTATATCCAAATAGCTTTTCACTTAATATCTGTAATGACATATTGCAATACAGAACAAAATCTAAATTTCTAAAGTTAGCTTATCCATTTCAGAAGTATTTCACTCAAATATATGTTCAGAATTTTATACTTCTCAGATGAATAAAAATTATCAAGTATCAATTCTTAATGTAATCCATGTGAACACAGAAGCACTGTGAAATCGAAACTGTTACTCAATCCACTGTCGAGCTCAGAAAAAACTACGGAACAATGTGGAAGTAGTTGCTTACAATGTTGTCCATAACACATATTTAATAACAGGTGAACTATTTATAACATGCATAGAATGTCAATGTCATTTTTTCATCTTACAGAAACATTATACGTTATTCTTCCTTCTTACACTTCGTAAGTAGAATTGGATCAAATCCGGGTAAACCAGTGAAGTGTCTGGAAAGTAGGAAAATTCTAAACACTTCTCCGACTCCTGCAAGATTAAGATTTATTTACATTTATTTATATCCAATTTCTCAAAAAAGAAAATAAGCCTTTGTTCTTTTTACTTCGTGGTGACTTAATGCTGCCACTCTGATGAAAGCAAAATTGCATGTGAAAAGTTTCACAGGTGGTGCTTCAGTATCGCAAGCGATGTCGCTACAGACCCCTTTTCCCTGATGAGGAAGGGATGGTATCATGTTCTAGTCTCTCTCCAGATACAGGTATGCAGAGAATTGGTGTCAATGTGAATTTTGACTCATCTGTAAAATGTACCACGTTAAATGCATTTCCTTGTGTGTTGTAGTAAGCGGGATTCAAACACTAGGCCTTCTGGCATATGGCCCTATCTCATAAAGCCTTCGAGCAACTCTATAGACATGAAATTCGAGTTCCAGTAGCAGCATGCAGCTTCTGTAAGAGCTGAAGTTGTAGCCATATTTGTTGCTACTCTGAAAGTGCCAAATAACCATCCTCATTCAGCATTGTAATTCTTGGTCAACTTAATCCAGGTCTTCTTGATTTGAATCCAGTGTCCTGAAATTGTTTTCTTAAATTGCAGATGACACTAGGCATTGCATTGAGCTCTGTAGCCACCTGCCCTTTTAATTAACCTGCCTCCAACCAACCAAGAATTACCCATCTCATTTCATCATACATACATTCATGGGTACTCATTTTGCTTGATAGCTTATAAAATATATGCAACTCTTGTGAGAAACATGCCAAATGTCATGGAAGAGTATCAGCACACCAATTACCAAAAACCCCTCGTGTGCTTATATCCCCTCCACAATTGCAGTTAAATATTTTTTGCAAAAATAGACATAAGTTGCTAATTCTCATAATTTTGCACACAAATGTATATTGAAGTGTGTTTGAAACATGATTTTAATAAGTGGCAGACACTGGATATTGTTTATCAAAGAAACTGAGGAAGCATTCTTAAAACTTTTCTTATGGCATTCATAATATCTTGTGATGGCAATGTTAATAAAACATAGGCATTAAAAATTTTGAGACATATGGTTATTTAAAAGTCAGCAAGTATAAACAAAACATACGCCATCAGAAGTTTTATGAGTTATAATGCTTTTAAAATTGTTTCTGTTGACCATTTGCCACTATGTGTTTAGGAATAAAGTGCATTGTTATTCCTATTTCTCAAATGTCTTTACATTAATATATAGGAGAAAAATGAAATCATGATTGTATTAAAACTCGAAACTTTAGTTAATAAAAGATGTTTCAATACTTTCTGATTATCTGCACCCCTTCACAAAATTCCTAAACTTGTTGCCAACTTGTTCTCCATATGTATAAAATGATTTTTTTTCTATTAACTCTTTGAAAACCGAAGCTTTCTAAACTAACCTGTATGATAAAATATCGAACCGCCCGAAATGGTTTTTGAGAGTCACAACAATTTTCTACCCTCCTCATCCATTAACACATAAAGAAGAATGAAAATTATGTGTTAATGGATGACGATAATAAAGATAAGAAACCACAAATAAATCCTTAGGACAAGCTGTCTGCAATAAACTGGTACAATGCATTTGGGGAAACTTCACCTGATACTGTATACCTTTGGGGAGGGAAGAAAACAACATCGGAATTTCAGCCTGTTTCAGGTGGTTGTAGTCGTTTGAATGAAAGGCCGTCTGGGGTGTTATGGTCTTCAAAGAGTTTTAAAAAAATCAGAGAAAAGCTCAGCATGATGCATAATCTAAGCACTAAAATCTTAACATGAGAAGGAAAAAAAGGAACGCATGATGACTTTAAACAAAACATATTACATAATAAGCATGCAGAAAGCTAGAGGACAAAAAGTGTAGTTTGCAGTCCACCACCCAGTGAAATTTCCACAGGATGGATCATAATCTGCAGTCACATTGACGAAAATGTCCGCTTAAGTGAAAAGCCATCTGGGGGATGCTACATGCATATTTGGGATACCATATAAACACGTTTGGTGGATGGTTTCCCATACAAATACATTATGGTGACATGGCACAATACCTCATTCATAATGTTTTGCAGCTTTTCAGAGGAGATGAAAGAAAACTACCAAAGTTTCTAACACCCTGCCTCTATTTACCACAAATGCAAAATATTTTGACCAACTGTAACTGCTAAGTGAAAATCCATTCAGGAATATTTTCCCAGAATAGCTTATCTGATAAATGCATTTTAGTTCAATAAAATTCAACAGAACTGAGAAAGCAAATTAATAAATGGATGCTAGCATGTTATCCCGCATATGCTAGAAAGAGATCAGTAATTATAAAAATAGTAAGGTTTAAAACAAGTTAATGGTGAGTCAGACAGACATTCATTAATATTCGATTATAAAATTATATAAACAAAACTTCTCAAAGTGTCATGACAAACCAGAAGGTGAAAATATTTGAAATATTGTTTTCTTATTCTGCATATATATATATATATGAATGATACACAAATAAATTTATCTGCTATCACAATTTATAATTGTCAGTTAATTATCAATAGTTATATATGGTTATTTATTGTTATTTCATGACTATGTTGTTTTCTTGAAATTATCATGTTTTTCAAAATGCAATATTGGTCCTGAAAAGTTGAAACTACAAGACGCATATAGGTCATGAGGCTAAAATGGAAAACACACATAAAACACTCATGATTATGTTTACAAAAAAAATTTTTACCTTGAATACTGTTAGCTTTAACAAGTTGTGCACAGTCTTGTAATAATGGCAAAGGAATATCATTTATACTCTTTCCCTAAAAAGTACAATTAATATTTTAATATATTTCATTTCCAAAGCAACATATATTACAAATTAAAGAACTTTATAAAAGTAAAATATGTTAAAATATGTTGGCTGAAATCTATATTCTGGCACTCTTTGTCCAGTTGGTATAGCATATTGGATAGATTCAATACAAGGAAAAAACAGTAAGTTTGAATATACTCCACTTCTTACATTGCATGTTGAAAATGTCCACTTTCTCAACTGGAAAAAGTGCACCTAATGTGATAAAATAAGTTACATCCGAATGTTGAACTGAGTTACACAAATGGCTGACAGCTATCTCTTTGTTTCAATATATGCAAAAATTATTCGTGTAGCAGTGCAACAATTTCTGGTCAGCTACAATATTAATACTTTTAATCCCTACAATAACAAATACTTTATTGATACATCTCTACATGAGATATGTTTAAAAATACCCAACAGGCATTTTTTTACATAGTTTCAAAAAAAAAAACAATACTTTCTATATATTCAGGGTAATTCAGAAATATTGTTCAAAAATCTACATATAGGTCAAACATGATAGCAAACAAGAATCGTATGGGAACATATAATCGCAAATGCAATCTACACCACAAAACAAACGCAATCCATGTGTTAGAACTCAGACCACAGATCCAGAGACTGAAAGATACAAGGCAGGTCACAAATTACTATCATTTATTACACAAAGATGAATTTACACCACATTTTACTTCACAAGAAAATTTTAAAGCAGGTTTTTGAACACCTGCTGAAGTTGTGGCTTGCAGCTGTAATACACGCCTTGCAAAGATGATGAAGCGATTGATAAACATCTGCAAGAATGCCTGGTGCATTGGAAATAACTCCACTTGGAGCAGCGATTTGTGCTACAAATCCATTTCAGATTCCACAGGGAGGGGGTTCATACACTACATTTTTCATGTAACCCCAAAGGAAAAAAATGAAGGAAATGATTTGGTGAACGACGTGGTCACAGGATAGGTCCACTGCAGCCAATACATTGCCCCAGAAATGCAGCAACCAGATATTGGCAGGCAATATGGGAGAAATGCACTGGAGCTCCATCATGTTTGAAAGAACATCCACTGCTACACATGAAGTAGTATGTCACTCAGCAATTCCAGCAGGACTTGAGCCAGAAAAGTGCACAAGTGTCTCCATCTGGGGCCCATGCAAGAAAGTAATCTGGATAAACCTAACCAGACATTATTGCTGCAGCAGTGTTGAGCAGCAAGGGACCGTATGGCTCTTGGATTTCCATGTGCCCACACATGCACATCAGAGATGCCTTCCAGTGTAAACATTACTTCGTCAGTAAACAAGACATCAGCTACAATGTTTGGGAACTGCTGTGATCTGCTGTATAAACCAACATGCAAAGTCCACACGCTGCCAGTAATTACCAGCTGTGGACAAAACCTGCACACATTGCATGCAGTACGGATGCAACTCATCCTCATGTAAGATATGCCAAATGCTGGATTGAGATGCATGTAAAACATGCTGCAATACTTTGAGTACTCCTCCCAGAGTTGTTTCCGACATTTGACAGCATAACTTCTTCCGCACACATGTCCACATCGTTCTGTCAACACCAGTATCATTCATTCATGTTTCGAAAATCCTAGTTTCGCTCAATCATTTGTGCAGATGTCTGAACATGGTATGAATGGGATACGTTTGTTGATTAACAAAGAATGACAGTTCCCTAATGGCTATACCACTGCCACGCCATTAGTTGCCCCATGTAGAAACTGTATTGCACCAGATGGCACTGTGTGCGCTTGAATTCTTCGGACTAGTTCAGAACCTTGATTATTGGAAGAGATGTAACACCGACGCAAAACATTAACCAAAGTTTATATGTGCTTCTCTTTGTTCTGAATGTATTTAATTGTGTTGTCAATAAAATATAGAGAAAATGATAAAAGGCGAGAATGCATCTGACAGGTAAGTGAGATTTCTTTATATTTGATTTGAATTGAGTTTTAGCGACAAAGAATGTATATGCGTATTTACACCCCATAAATGAGGTGCTATCTGTCATTTTTCTATTCATGTAGTGAGTGATTCATCCTTTTTTTATGCTCATACTATAATGTATTTTCTCCCTTCTTTCTGAATGCCTTCATGGTGTAATAGTAGCACACTCGGCCCATACGAAAGGTCAAGGTTTGTGTCCCGCCAAAGGCATTGCGCATTTTCCCCCGTCTCCTACTTCAAAAAATCTAATGGCTATAGAGTGGCACCTGAACTAAAAGGCGGTGGACAATAATTCGTCACCACCAGGATTTGATGAACTGGGTCCTCTTATCCCCAGTTGCCCTTTAACCCCTTTAGGATGGGTGTATCACATAGGATGGGTGCTAATCCTCTTACAAAGACGGCATGCCCCTTAGCACAACTCACCTTGGAGACGGTGTGCAATGCACCGGCTGCTAGTGACATTTGGGACTGATGTATATATGACACAGCCGTCTGCAGAGGGTTTTTAGTCCAGCAACATGCCGTCTTGAAGGGGTTAAAAAGGGGAGTATATAAGGCATTTTCTTCCTCCTTCCAGCATGCCTTCGTGGTGTAATGGTAGCACATTCGGCACATATTCAAGAGATCCAGGTTCAAGTCCCAGTGAGGGCATTGCACATTTTTCACATCTACTGCTTAAAATAACCTAATGTCTTTACAATACACCCAAATTATACTTTTTCTCACTTCATTCTGGGCAGCTTTGTTCCCGACCTCTAGCACATCTTGCACAACTGGGTTGTGTATGTGACCACGTGTTCCTAAATGCTTCTTGCTTATTATCGTGTTTCTGACAAGCATATTGATTTTTAACAATATTTATGAATCACCCTCTATATATTTAAATTACTAATGTACCCTTGGGTGAAACTTGTGTTATTATAGCTGCTATTGAGTAATTCTATTTTTGTATTGCAAAGCCACTACATTTAGTACATATGTTTCTCTTTCTGCTTATATGTATATTTTCTGGCAAGCCTGTCTCACTAAAACTATGAAATTTCACCATATTTTCATTAAGACTTTTGAGTGAACAAGTTAACTTACCTTTTCTAATCGTAAGTAGACATGGGCAGATGACATATCATCAACATGAAACCATATATCTTCAGGCCAACCCCATCTTATCAAATCTTCATCTACATAAAATATATGTTGAAATATAAAAATCAAAAATTAGATTAGAAACAGAATTCTGCTTGAGGCGATAGTCTGTCTCATTAAAAAAAGTACTACTTTGCTTTTGCAAGTTAAAGAGGGAAATCTGATGGATGTTAATTCATTTTCCACTCAAGTAAAATACAATGTATAGTTCAATACTGACTTAAATAAAACTCATTAAAATAAAACAATTCAAATGCATAATAAAGGTAATGATTTCTTCAATACTGTACAAAAAATAAATCTATAGGCTAATAATGTTTCATAAGATTCAGAACTTTAACTTGTTACTGTTACGCTATATATACTTAATTACAACTGTTATCAATTACTCTTCAATGCAAATCCCTAAAAAAATTTTTTGGTCGTTATTTTCTCTTTTATTCCCATAATTGATGTATGAAAATTCTATGTGACATCAAAGTGATAAGAAATTTAAAAGAGAAAGCTTTAAAAAGATAAAAACATAAGACGAAAATGACATTCTTCTTATTGAAGAAAACGCAGATGCCGTTAGGACAAAGTTAAAAATTAAATAAATGGTCTACTTTGACACATTAAAACCGTATTTAAAAATATCAGTAAAAGAGGGACATTCATGGGTTGTCTGCAAAAGTTCTCATTTTACCAATGTTAACTGCAATTTTAAGCACATAAATATAGAAGATTTTATTTTGTTTTTACTGGCAATGTATGGCTGCCCACAAATACTGAATTAAAAAAAGTACTACTTTGCTTTTGCAAATTAAAGAGGGAAATCTGATGGATGTTAATTCATTTTCCACTCAAGTAAAATACAATGTATAGTTCAATACTGACTTAAATAAAACTCATTAAAATAAAACAATTCAAATGCATAATAAAGGTAATGATTTCTTCTTCAATACTGTACAAAAATAAATCTATAGGGTAATAACGTTTCATAAGATTCAGAATTGGAATTAGAACAATCAAATCATAAGCTAATGATGGGAAGAACATATGTATATAATTAAATAAAAAAAGCATTTATACAATCTTGTCCTCCAGACAATTTCCATAACTGTGGTTTACTGTCAACTCTACCTAGTATTACCAACCTTATACCTTTCTGCTATCCACATTTCAAGTTTTATTAACACACACTTTCCCAATTCATTAATAATTTTCTTCATACTACATGAATTTTTGCTGAAGTTTCCACCACATGCAATGGCCACTTTTAATTTACACTTCGTCAATTCATTAATGATTTTCTTTATACTACATTAATTTTTTGCTGATGTTTCCACCACATGCAATGGCCACTTTTAATTTGACTGTAACTTATAATTAAAAGTCTGGCCAAATGCTGTCTTTTTCAAATTCACAGCCTGTTGGGATTGGGCAGCTAATATGAGATTTAACTGTTCTTCATAATTTATGTTTTATAAATAATTTCTTTAATTTTTAATTTAATTTTTTTTATTACATTAGACATTAATTAAGTAAGACACCTGCTATATATTTTTTACAGTTCTTGGCACACAAATTCCCTGAAAATGTTTTAAGTACTGTTTAAAATTTCATTTGTTTTTCACTTTTATGCACTGGTTGCTTACATTGTTTTGATCAAACTTTGCTTTATGTTCTACACTGCTAAACCCAAATATGATTTTTGAATTTGAATTTGCTTTTGATTTAAATATAAAATAAGATTGAAACATAGTTCAATTACAACATACATTTTTTATATAGTACTGTATTTTGGATACTCTCTTTATATGCAGCAGAACCTTGATTATCCAGGATAATTAAGATCAAAACTACCTAGGATAGATAAAAACTTGGTTACTAAAGCCTGAATTTTAAATCATGCCATTCTTTCGACAAGGTTTTTTAAAACTGTTTATTTCAAATTCTAAAAACAAGGGCATATGTATAGGAATTAACATTTCAATAAAATATTTTATAATTAAACAAAATTTTTCAGTTGAATAGATAATTCACAGAGCATTTTTATTTTGTAATAAAATCATGAAAAGCAAATACATTCTATCAAAACTTATGCAACTTGTGAAATCTTGTCAAGTTTCCTGTATGCAATTTAACGAGAAAATTTTTCTTGAAAATAACCAATAACATTTTACTGTGATTGTTCTATAACTCTATTAGCTACCACACAATCATTCAACATTTCTGTCAGAAAAAGATTCAAAGGAGAACCATCAGATATCCATCTAAAAATTAAATGACTCTTCCACAAAGCTAATTTTCCCACTGTCTACTTCCATTTCATCATCATGCATTTCAATTTTAAATTCTATAATAAATGTCTAAATTCTTTTGCTTGATTTGACACTATAATTTGTACCCTGCATCGGGGAGGACTTCAAAATTTTCCGATAAACTGTTATAACTAAATGCTTTTGAATAGCTCTCATCAGCTAATTTTGGATACAGAAACGTAGTAGTTTTTAAGTGGAAGGGGATTGTAATTGAGTCTGATGTAGCCTCCTCTTGATAACATTATATCAAATTTTATTGAATTCCTCTTCTTTTGTATTTTTTCTGGTTGGATAATTTTCCCCCAATTTTTGTATTTTTAGGTTTTAGTTTCACATTTCCTTAATTTTTATTTTGCTTATTTTTAGGATATTTTGAAATTTATTGGCATTGAGTTTCACTTCTTTTGCGCCTTTGTGTAAAATTGATTCTAAATTACTTACTTTTTATTTATATTGATCAATTTTCAGCAGCATATTGAATGGAAATACTTGGAGTAATTACGTTTTTAAATTTTAAAAAAAATTGTGTGAAGACTGGTACACAACTCTATCACAAGATGGAAGTGCAATACTTTACATTATAGCCCAGTGGCATCAACTGCAGTGTTCAGATGGAGCTACTACAGTATGAAATAAATTAATAGCAAGCCAAAGTAGCTTCACATTTGCATGTAAATAATTATCAATGATCAATAAAAACTGCTCATTTTGGCAGTTAATAAGTTAAAGAAATTATGCATTTTAAATTTGAGCACTGATTAATAAGTTAAAAAAATTATGCATTTTGAATTTGAGCACTGAAAATACTTACAAAGCTTACATCTCAGTATTTGAGCACTGAAAATACACATAACGCTTATATCACAGTAATAATAATAATGACATTCACAACAGCTGACTGAAAGAGAGCATAATTTTCATTTCTATAGCAAAAACTTGTTTTTTAACTATCCTCATAAGAGCAAAGCAGTTAAGTCTTTTATCAAAAGATATAAGAAAAATATATTCCAACCTTAAAATAAAATTCTTATATTAAATCATAAATTTTTGTGTATTTTTTATGTAAGCAGAAGTAGATCAGACATTCCTTTTTCATGTTAAAATTAATACTTGACAGTCTAAATTCTACAAAACTGTTATACTATCTTACGTCTTCACATTTAAACTGAAAAAAATGCCTAATATGGATAAGTTTGATAATAAATACTATTTATGAATACTTAGTTGACTCTCATTTTAAAAATACATTAACTATAAATTAACAATGCAAATTTCCTCCTTTGATGAAAATGTATCAAATGAAAAGAGAAAATTGTTTAAATTATATTAGTGTTAACACATCAAATGTTCAATGAGCTTATAGTACATTAGCATTGCCACTCAAATGACAAATGAAAAGAGAAAAGACAATTATATACAGTCACCATCTTTAACTTTTGTGACTCATTAATGAGTTAAAACATTTACAAAAATAACAGCATTCCAACTAAAATATTTTGTGAAGCTACATGCTGTGATTAACAAAGTATCATAAGCATGACTCATTTTAGCATTTACGCACAAGTGATACATCTCAAATCATTTGTTACATTACCTCAATATATTAGTGATAAAACTGATCAACATTAATAGTTTTCAATAATATGTTAAATATTACTAAGTGCTTTATTATTTGACAGCTTGTACAGAGCTTTTGAAGACTGATAATCAATGCTCTTAACAATTACCTCCTAATTACACTCTTCTGCAAAAAAAATCGAAGCACCAAGAAGAACTTTTGCGATAGTGGCAAAATTTGTTATGTAGAACATCTTGATTGAACATGCAAATGATCAAAGTTTCAAGACAAATGAAGACGAGTTGCAATCATAGCACGCATTTCTAGTGCGCAATTCGGCAAGTATTATAACAGTAACACAAGCGGAAAATTTATCTTTTTTTGCTGCTGCCATTGCAATTCCGTACAGAAGCAACTAAAGATGACATTACGACAATATCGAAAACCTTACAGACAACTAAACGACTTCGAACGTGGTCAAATCGTTGGGCTGCGTGAAGCTGTGTGGTCATACCAAGCAATAGCCCACCACCTGCTTCTGTACAAAGATGTTGTCAGCAGTGGTTGCTACAAGGAAATTGCCGATGAAATAAAGGCTCTGGAAGGCCAAGGAGCACAAATGCGAGGCAAGACAGGATGATTGTTTGCCAGGCCCAAACCGCCCCAATGGTATCATTGTCAACTATTCAACGCACTACAGCCACATCTATACCTCCCGTGGTACCGTCCACCATCTCATTGCGCTTGTCTGAGGCGGCGGGGTTACGCTCACAGAGGACTTTAAGATGTTTGCTTCTTTGAGCCCACAACATTGGCGGAGTCATCTGAAGTGGTATCGCAGCCGATCATCATAGCTGCCATCACACTGGCATTGTATAGCACTCAGCGATGAATCCCGTTTCACTCTTGAAGAGATGGCCACTGTGTTCATGTCTGGAAAGGACAGGACCAGTGGCCACAATCAGCCTTTGTTTTGCAAAGGCATACAGCCATAACCCCTGGTGTAATGGTGTGGGGTGCTATTTCTTACGACAGCAAGTCATCTTTAGGCCCATATCACACGGCGTTTGTTTCACACGAACAACTGTTTCGGACAATTTTTCTGCCTGGTTTACTATTGAAAGAAAGATGTGCAACTTTTTTCTGCCTTTCCAAAAAAATTCTCCCTGTGTTAACCCCAAAGCGATCTATGGTGATTGGCTGTTGTGACAAAGCAGAAGAATTGTTCCAAACAGTTGTTCTTCCGAAACAAAACGACGTGTGATAGCAGCCTTAGTCATCCTCTGTACATCTTTAACAGCTCAACAATATGTTGATACCATCCTGTGGCCGGTTGCATTACCCTTCATGGCACTTCATCCTGGGGCCATTTTGCATCAAGATAATGCCAGGCCACATACCGCTTGCATATCTCTGGACTGTTTCTGTATGTTTGTCATTGCTCTTCCTTGGCCAGCAAGGTCACCAGACCTTTAACCAAACAAGCATGTCTGGGACATATTAGGCCACCTGATTTGGGCACCACAAAATATCGCAGATCTGGAGAGACAACTGATGAATGCCTGGCAGAATGTGTCGCAGGATGACATTAGGAACCACTACCATTCCTTGCCTTGACAAATTCAAGCATGCATTGCTGCCGGGGCATTTCGACAAACTACTAATTTGAACACTCACTGGGTGATTGTGAGCCGTGAACAGGTACTATGACCTTGAGTTTTTAATCATTTTATTATCTGTATATGAGCTATACACATATTCAATTCCATCAAAAACAACCACTTCCTTCATGATGCTTTTATTTTTTTGCAAAAGAGTGGGTATCATTCTGTTATCAAGCAACTAGTGTAATTATAATTATAACAAGAAAATGAAAAATACAACTTTTTTTAATGCACCAAACAAAAAAAAATTCCCCATAAAAATCTGAGAATATGTCAAAATTATTCAATTTTTTAAAAATCTTTATAACTTTATAACTATTTTAAGCACCCTTCACATAGAAAATTTCAGGTTAAAAAAAATTTTAATATGATTGTTTCAGCTAAAAATAAGCATTATTTGATTATGATGAGAAACTAATAATCATGCTTAACAGAATGTTGAAAAGTGTGTTACTCTTTCTGTCCCCGTTTTCTGCTAGAATTGCCAAACTGCTAAAAAATTTAAAAACATGAAAAATTAAGATTGAAAATTCAAAATTTACTAAGGTTAATTAAGATAACATACTTTCATGTTTGTCCAGTCCCATGTATATTGTAGCAGGAGGTGTGACTACTGAAAAAGAAATACAAACAAGCAAATAAAAAAACATATATTATTCAAAGCACCAAAATTAGAGTTTACATACATTGTCTCACAAAAAGCATTCAGTACTAAATCTTTTACACACACATGCCAATGAATTTGAAACCTTACAGATATTCATTGGAATGCATGGGATGAAGTATGCACATTTGTTTTATGATGTGGGTTACACATGGTTAGAATGCTAGTATAAGTAATGTGTAGGAGTGCTTTTCCCGATGAATGAAATAAAATGAGAAAAACAACAGGTCTTTCACCATTTGAAAAAGGACTTATTGTTGGTGAGCGTTTAACAGGAGCCTCGATTTCAAAGACAGCAAATCTCGCTGTGTTCTTATAAACAGCCATATCAAAGGTTTTCAAAAGTTGGAATCAGAACCCACAGTCGCTCTCCAGAAGACATAACTGCGGTTTAAGAACAGTTTTCCAAGAGAGTGATCGAAAGCATCTCTGACAAACTGTATGGCAGAACAGGGACTCTACTGTGCTTCAACTGACACAGATCATCAACTAAGGCTCATCAACCAACAGAGTTCTACTCACACCTGTGCCGAGAATTGCAGAGGATAGGAATGCATAAGTTGTGCCTGTGAGAAAACCACTCATTTGTCCAACATTCAAGAATTCCGTTTGCAGTGGTGTCAGGAAAGAAGACATTGGACATCTGAGGATTGGAAATGGATAATGTGGTCGGATGAATCCCGCTACACCTTATTTTGTACAAATGGAAGACATCGGGTATTTTTTTGCTTCAGATAGTGAAACATAATATTAAAAATACAGATGGACAGCAATGGGTGACTGAAGACACAATGTTTTATAAACAATTATTACTGCTCCAATAGGATGTTTGAATGTCTTTAAATCAGCACAACATTAAATTCAGCATAATTAACTTTAGAAGATTATTTTAAAAAGAAAAAAATTCTCAGTTTAAAATAAGATAGATAGGGAATACCAAAATATATTTATTACATTCCTAACAGGCCCCACAAGTGGCCAAGTGGTTAAGACTGCTGAATACTGGGAGTTTGACCAGGTTTGGGTTTCACCACAAGTGGAAGAATGAGCTTAATGCATGATTAGTTTTGGTGTTTTTTTCCACGTTGGCAGTTTTCTCCATGTTTAGCTGTAATGTGAATACGACTCAGTTTCCCTTAGAAAGCCATCCAGGAAGGCATCCCTCCTCTTAGGCAGATAGCTTTTTACGGCTTTGCCATATACAAATAACCTAAGCTATATTCCAAATAATCCCTTCTGTATCATGGTACAAATTGACATTTTAAAACCTAATCTATTTTTTGTAATTTAATAATAATGCACTCTTTTACCATTACTACTAGTTCATTAAAGAATAAAATACAGTCAAAAGTCTTTAATCCGGACTCATCGGGACTTCGATTCCGGATTATCAATTTTTCTGGATTATAGATCATCAGTTTAAATCTAGTAAGATGGCATGCAGAAATTATAAAATTAAAAATATGAAACCGTAATTTATAATGACGTTTCTCGTCATTATAAATATCGTAATTGATTTAAATCATATTAAAGACGGAGTCCATCGAGATGAAATACTACATTCAGTAAGGAATTATAAGCCGAATAAAATAAAAACATCTGCCCTGAAGATGAGGATAGTGCTGACAGATCAACTTCCAGTTCATTACGCGCCGTGACGTCTTTTTGCTGTCTTTTTCAGTAATATTTCGCTTAAAAATAATCATGGGAGGTATTGTATATATGTAACTGGATCTATTGCTATTATTATTCATCATAACTGTAATACAGAACAATAGAGTAGCAATGTAGAATAAACGATGTTTGTGTACATCTCCTTATCATCATAGAACACTTACCCAACATAAAAAAAACGATCCATGGCATAGTCAGCGGTAGATTAAAAAAGAAAATCTTTTTTAAAGAACCATGCAGCATCACTTCTGAATAATCGTAAAGACATTCTAAACTAAAACATGATGGGAAAGTTGGTCACAGTGAAATCGAAACTTCCATTGCTGGTTAAGTGCATTTTTTTTTTTTTTTTTTTTTTTTTTTTTTAAGTGGCTAAAAACATGTATATATAAACTATTTAAAGTCTTAAATATGTATGGATTAAAGCCATCGAGTAATCTAAATTTCGAAGGTAATTTAAGCGAAAATTGGAAGAAGTGGAAGCAAAAATTCCAGATTTACATGTTAGCATCTGGTGATATTACTAAATTGCTTGAAATTAAAGTAGCTATTTTATTGCATGTTATTGGCAAAGAAGCACTTGAAAAGTTTAATACTTTTAATTTAAGTGAAGAAGATAAGAAGGATGTTGACAAAGTAATTGAAGCTTTCGAAAATTATTTCATACTGAAAGCAAAGGAAAGTGTTGGTATACATATATTTTTCTGTGGAACGCAACATGTTCGTGAACTGTTTGATGATATTTTAACAGAGTAAAAGAAACTAAGTAGTAACTGTGGATTTGTGAAATTAAAAGATAGAATAGTAAATGGAATTTCTAAATTAAAATCTTAAAGATAGGTTATTAAAGGAAGATAAGTTAACATTGCAGAAATGTATTAAAATGTGTAAAGCTTCTGAATTAGCAGAACTTCAGCTGAAAACTTTAACTGAAGAAAATAAAATTGAAGTGATCAAGCGAAATAAAATTCCACCTTTAGAAGAAAAATATCATGTAAAACCAAAGCAACAAAGTTCTAAATCATCTTCAAACTATCAAGAAAATACGTATACAATAATCTGAAACCACGTAGAAAATGTGGAACTTTTCATAAGTTATACAATTGTCCTGCTTATACTAAGATTTGCTTGTACTGTAAAAAGAAAAATCACTTCTAAAATGTGCACTTATAAAAATGTTAATATTCTACAGAATAACGTAGCATGAGTTACATTATAATGGTAATGAATATATTTTAGGGTCAGTAGAAGATACAAATCCATTTTCTAAAAATAGAACACAACGGTCTGAAGGACTAAAAGTAAACATATCTAAATATTTATTTGTTATGTTGGACAGTGATGCTCAGTGTAATGTGTTGACAGGTTGGTTAACCAAATTTAAAAATGATCATGGTATAAGGCAATTAAAAATTTCAGGAGAAAGCTGCTGAACTATTTGCATATGAATTCATGGAACTCATTAGTAATGAAAAGTTATCTTCAGAACGAATTTACAATGCTGATGAACACGGTCTTTTCTGGCAACATGCACCACGAAATACCCTGGCAAACTCTACAGAAAAGGCTCCAACTGATGCCAAAGATTCCTAAGCGAAACTAACAATTTTAGCATGCGCAAATGCTGCAAGAACACACAAGTGTAATCAGAAAAACTACACAAGCTTGTAAAGGAGTAAAGAATTACAGCACTATATATTGTGAAAATAAAAGAGCATGGATGGCACAAGGATTAATGAATAATTGGTTCGAAAATCATCTCGTACACGAGGCTGGGCAACATTTGAATTCGGTTCGCTTACCGATGACACAAAAACTGTCCTGATTGTAGACAACTGCTCGACTCGTATTTCGCTTAAATTTTTAGTGAAAGATAATATATCCATCCGTATTATTACTTCCTCCAAACTGTACTTCCATCACTCAGCCTACTGATATCATAATAGTGTGTGCACTGAAATGCAAATATAAAGTAGCATTTTTTAAATTCATGTTAAATTTCTTAAATAATGGCAAGATTGTTCAAGAATTTACTCAATATTTTAGCATAAAGTCTGCTGTGTGGAACATCACAAGATCTTGGGAGGATGTGTCTCCAGATACTTTAACAAATGCTTGGCATAATTTATTACCGTATTTCACGGTGAGGATGATGAAGATGATAGCCGTGAATCTGAAGGTTTTAAGATATCTCAAACCAAAGGTGAAATTTTCCAATTAACAGATTTTGTAAAGAAATGCAGAGAAGCGGTAATAAATGGAGATATAACAGAAATTTTTCATTGTGATGATAATGCCTCAATCATCAATCAATTAATGAACAATGAAATCTGTAGCATGGCTCCAGATCCAGAAACTACCATTACCAATAGTGAAGAAAGTGACAGAGAGGTTACTGAAAATGAAAAACTTTCGATTGATAAGTTAGTTGGAATTCTCGATCCAGCAGTTACAAAATGGAACTTTGTAACTGAACAAGAAATTATGTCTGTCTATAGAATTAAAGAGAAATATTAGCACAAAAATCGAAGCAACTTAATTTACATTGAAAGAAATGTTTAATAAAAGTAAACAAATAAATATTTAGCATTTTTTTGTAAATTTTGACAGTCTTAGATCATAAATGCTTCATTATTTCATAAATCACAATTTCATATTTTTTATTTCTACATGCCATCTTACTAGATTTAAATTGATGATCTAATATCCGAAAAATCCCAAATACAGAATCATCAAAGGCCAACGAATCTGGATCTTTGACTTCATACTGTATATTAGATTTATATACAGCATTGTTCTAATATAGGTATTTGGACACAAAATCGAGTTTTTTTCTGAAATGACACACCAATTGTTTTTCATATTTCAATTCTATGACTCAAATTATGCCTGAATAAATTTTGAAGGATAATATTGTACAATTTGGTGAGAAAATTATCAAGAAATTAAAAAATTTATCTTGGCATACTTTTTTCAGTTTGCGGCAATAATAATTGATGATTGAATAAATGATAATTTAAAGTTATGATCTAATATCAGAAAAATCCCAAAAACGTAATCACGAAGTCCCAACAAATCCAGATCTTGGACATTATACTGAAAATTAGATTTATATACAGCATCGTTCTAACACAGGGTAATCTTGACACAAAATCTGGTTTTTTACCTGAAATGATGTACCGATTGTTTTCCATATTTCAATTCTATGACTCAAATTATGCCTGAATAAATTTTGTAAGATAATTTTAAAAGGTGGTGATAATTTTTAAAGAAAT